GCGCGACTCCGGCGACTACTCTCTTGTTTTGCTTAGACGCGCGGTGAGTGCGAGCGGGGGCCGGCCGATTCGCCGTCGCCCGCGGCCAGGGCGTAGTCCGCTCGCCCGCTGCGGCTGACGATCGGCGACGGCCGCGGCGACGACGACGACGACGGCGTTCACCTCGCTTTCCTCCGGAGAAGAAATCGCCGGTTACGTCGGCGACGCGCCGCGCCACAGCGTCGTCCAGCTCGCGGTGGCCGGCCGTCCCTTCACTTCCATTCTTGGGCTTCGCGGCCGACAATTGTTTCGCGACGCGCTGCGGCAACAAAAGCGAAATTAATAAGCGCGCGCGCGCGCTATCGGGGCCCGCCATCGGTCATTGCGCAATGCCATCGGCCTGGGGAGCGCGCATAAGGATATGCCGTCTTTTGCATAACGCGGGAAAGCAGCGTGGAAAATCGGCCTAAATGTTATCTATTGTTTTTGCTAATGTGGCGATCGATTTGTGTTGCATATGCATATCGCTGCGCAACAATCGACGCGCAGCGAAACATTTTTCTGATTCATCACAACACAACACAAAACACAACACCGCACAAAAAAAAAACACGCAATTTTCTCATAAAACCAGCTAATAAAAGTGTTTTTACAAACAGCATCGTGAGATTATTCGCTTTGGCGATGAGTCAAAACATCAGCGCATAGATCTCATAATCCGCAATGTCCTCATATAAATTACAATGAAAAGCAATCAATTCAACAATCGATGAAACCAAATTCCAACACAAATCCAAATACGCAATCCGATTGGAAAACGCGCGCGCGTTGTGTGTTTTTTTTTGCGATCAAAGTATCGACAAAGTAGCAGCGTTTACTCAGCACGCGTGCGTGGCGCACAGATTCGAGGCATATCTTGCGTCCACCTTTGATAGGCGATGAATATAGTTATGGTAATACCAAACAGCGAAATACGGTGAATCGATTTGTCCTTGCAATCCGTAACGAATCGTTTCCATGTGCGAGGAACGCCGTGCAATGAAAAAAAAATAATGTAAAAATCGATTTACATACGTGATATTATTGTCTACTTGATATTTATATATCTCAACGTGTTGGACAATATCCGCACATAATATATGTAACACTCTAATAATATTTGGCAATGTATAAACACGTTTTTTAAAAGTTATTTAAAAAAATTAATTTTTTGCGTTTTTCTGCGTTTTTTGTGCGTGATTTTTCCTAATGGGGAGATTTTTGAAATTGGGAAAAGTGCGTGAAAGCTATAACGTATTAGAAGCACGCACACGACGTCCGGCGATGGACGGGCCACGACAAGATAGTTAACGACGTCGCTTAATGAGTGCGCATGTCCCGCATACACTCGTATCGAAATCCAGTAGCGCATAATTGCCATTCGTCGGCGCTTTACTGCCCGCAACGCAGCGAAATCAATTCGGCGCTTTGGATGAGATGTAAATGTGGCAGTGTAGGCAACCAAGTATACAATTACAGCCGGGGTTCACGCGTTTGGTTTCTCTCCGCGCGCGCGCTAGCAAAACATCCTTCTCCGGTTATGAGTTATGACCAACATGAATATGCATATCGAGCGCCGCGTGGTTATTAAACATGGGCGGTTGTCCGCCAGTAATAAATTAACGAAAATCGAAAGTCACTTTAAATTGGAGCGAAATTGTGGCGAGATTCTAGCGGTTCTTTCACTCGACTCCGCATCGCATGTCGCTGCCGCTTGTTGTTTTCTTGGACAAATGCAAATTCCGTTCATTTTATGCTTATTATATATGCCGCCACATCATCAGTGATTTTGATTCTATCAGTTTTACTCTCGGCGAGATTCACTTGTTTTCTTCATCTAATTACAGAACGGTTTCAATTATACATAATAATGTGATAAAGCGCGAGATAAGCGTGTGTCAATTGGCAGATAGAAAGTTATGATTTATGATATCGAAGGTACTTAACAACCACATTGGTTAATTGCTGTTTGCATTAAGTGCGTGCGATTTAGCAAGAGGATGAAGAGGAGGACACCGCGTAGACAATGCGTATTAAATGTGATATTTAACTAGGAGCGAGGCGTTATTGTGCAAAAGTAGTTGATGGTCGGCAGCGGCAGCAGCGGCCGACGATGAAGAAGAAGAAGAAGAAAAAAAACTAGTGTTGGCATGTCGTATTGTAGGTCGACGAGTCGCTCGCTGAGCTGAGAATCGGCCGCACAACAATTGGGTGTGGTTCTCTCGCTGGCCGTTCTTCTAATAGATCTACAATCTATTCGAAACGCAATGCGATCGCGCAACGCCGACCGCCGCATGCTATTTACCATTTGCAATCGGACGCCTCTTTGTTCCACTTGGATCCGTCTAGGGAGACAGTTTTGGCAGTTGGTAGCACTTGTTTGAGTAGTCGAAACATCGAATGCGTTACATTACAATCGATTTTCGGTGCTGGCGCGATGTGATGTGATGCGATTCGATCGATTGATTCTCTTCGCTCTATCCCACGGCGATCGGCAATCGGCAGCAGCCTTCTAATTGTGCCAAGGGAACTCTTCGTCCGGCACACCACGGCCGCCGCCCCGCGCAAACGTTCCGGATCTAATTTTAATTCATTGCTTGCCTAACTTTGCAAACGGCAACGACACTTGCGGTTAGACGCGCGTCATAAATGAAAATTTTAGTTTTTAGGTGAATTTTTTGCAGTTTTCTTCATTATCCTGTCAACAAAATCAACAAAAATTAAGTAAAAACGGTTTAAAATGTATTTTAGTACAAATTACGATAAATAACGTTAATATTTAGTAATATTTAAAGATAAATCTTTAAAATATCTTTAATTTCAGACAAATTTTATTTCAATCTTAATTTCGCGTTAGTATTAATCAAATTTCTACTTATACGTCCATCTTTTAGCATTTCTTAATTTTGTTTCAAAACCAAACGATAGAAATTTGTAATTTCTCATTATGTTTCTCTTATTTTTTTCTAGATGGCGCCAAACGTAAGAAACTTCACAAAATATCGCGCGTCCTGCTCACAACTCACTCAACACCAAACACAGTCAATCAGTAAGTTTTTCTACCGCTAGATGGCGCTGCATGTCCCTGACTCCTGCTGTTTACGCCTGCCATGCTTTGTTTTGCAGTGTGGTGCGCCGCAGAAGTCAGATGACACACACCAACGCAACCGAACGCAAAAGTAAATTAGCGTCGTCGAGCGGCGCGGCGCGCATTGTTTTCGCAATTAGCCGTCGGTCGCATCGCTCTGCGGTTAAACGCGCGCGCGGTCGCCGCATAAATATGTTGCTGCTGGATTCGCAGCCGACTTTTATCACAATCACGCGTTCCCTTGTGCACCAGTGCAGCGCAGCCGCAGGTTATGTGCCGTTGATCGCGTCGAAATCGTGCGCGAAAATGCCCGATCAGTGATAACATTGATAACAACGTGCGCGCGGGATAAACAATGCTGAAGATACAAATGCTGGAGCAGCTCGTCACCAGCGAGGAGGACGGCGGCGGCGGCGGCGGCAACGACGAACCTGAACTACGAAGGTAAACGACATTAATTTTGTTATTGTTTTTGTTTTTTTGTAATTTTTGCGTTATCGTTATCATACCGCCGTGGAGCTGGCGGTGCATGCATGATTATAGAGTGCATTCTGCACGTGCGTTGCGCTGAAAACGGTTCAACAGTTAGCTCTTTATGTGCTGTTAGTTTACAAGTTTGACCCACATTCCGATTGCGAGAGTTCTTCGCTTTTAACATTCATTCGCACTCGACGCACTGACAGCGAGACACAGCGTTTTCTATTGTCGTCGGCACGGACTTCTTCATCATCATCATCAGTCTGCGCGCGCGTTGCCCAAGTTGAGCTAAACGTGCGCGGCGTCGAATTAAAACGCTTACAAACATCTCGGCGCGCAAAACAGTTGTTCTTCGGGCCGAAAACGCGTGTGAATTTTTTTTTCGTCGACGGCCAAGTTTTCGGTTTCGTTCCCATGAATTCGTGTTTTATTACGTTGTTTTTTTTTTTTTTGTAGACGAAATGTTACTCAACCGATAACTTCGATTTCGTTGTGTAAATATTAGCATAGCTGTGATTTTCCGCGGTCGACGCTGCTTCCTGTCGCGACCATCGCTTTCCTTCGGTCTTCGGAATTTTAATTAGCGGTTTGGCGATTTCGTTTCCAGCGCGCAATTCGCGCTTCCTTCCCCGGGCTGACGCGTTTCATTATTCATTTCCTCGTCGTGTGGGTCGCGGCGACAATGCGCGATAAAAACCGCACGCCAATCTATGAATTTTAATGCGCGCATTATATAAAAGTGTTACGGGCGCAGCGCACGCCCGCGACACGCGACCGTTACACTTTGCTCGCACGTCCGGTTTTCACCCCTTTTGCGCTTCTTCGGCGCGCTTCCTCTAATCGCGTCTTCTTCGCGATGCATGCTTCGCTTGATGCGTCTAATTGCGGGCGCGTGCTCATGCACCGTGTGCTAATAAGCAATACGGCGTTAATAAGCAAACGGCTCGTTATCGCATGCATCTAAAACGCAATGTTATAGTCGAGCGTCGATTACAAGCGCAGATAACGAAATCAACGCGCGTGTTGTTTGTGTTGCCTACGTTCAACCGGCATACGGCGCGTTATTCCACCAGTACTGCATTTTATTCACCGACAGAAATTCTATGCGGCGCGCACACGCAACCCACGCAACTTCAATCATAAATCAAGGTCATGGATACAATGCCAACTTTTCCCAATTTTCCGCGCTCAATTTTTATCGCGTTTCGGCACTATTTTCGATTATACGAGTTTCCAAACGTGAATATTTTCATAAATCGTGTTTCGCACTCGGTGAGGCATCGAAAGGAAACAGGACGTAACGCTTTTGATCCCGACGTGCGCCCAAGGTCCGCATTCTAATTGTTCCGGTCACTCTATTCCTCCTCCTCGCGTCTATAATTAAAACGTAAGCGAAGCCAGATAATGACACGTTAAATTCTGTGATTTTCACGTGTGCGTGTGTGTATTTTCTTTAATAAAAATGATAGCGCAACAATTACGACCGTTAAAAGGTCGCCGTTTCCGCTACTTTTCGTACAACAATTACATAATAATTAAATAGAGTATAACATATACAAAGTAATAATCTAAGAAACGAGATAGAAGCACTAAACACTGGCGAAGTCGCAGTAGTCAAATGAAGCTATGCGACTGTCTCCAAACGAATTATACTACTGCTACGCGACCAGTTGTTTATACTTCGTCGTTTTAATAATGTAATGTAACTGCTGGTGGTGTGCGGCAGGTCCTTGGCGCAGTCGATAAGTTCATCGATGATGAACTGCGGCAGGTTTCGCGTGAGTTTTTCTAGGATTTGTCGTGACGTTGAGTCTTTACTGCAACTTTGCGTGAGAAAGTACCGAAAGGCTTCTTTTAACTTCAGACGTTCCAGAGGGTGTTGTAGCCATTCTGGGAGTCTGTCTTGGAAATCATTCTGAATAACAGCGATGTATGAACTGAATTTCGTCGCTAGGTCGAGATCGCACCCGGCGATTTCGTCTAGCAGCCCGACGTAGAAATCTTTTCGATCTGCGTCGTTCAAGAATCGTCTTCGGTAGAAATATGAGAAGTTGTTGTGTCTCTGGGACAAACGCGTGTTCTGAAAATTAAAAAAATATTAGAAATTTTGATATATTTTTTTAATTTTAAAATAGGGACTCACCGTGCATGAATGACACATTTTCGAAGTGTATTATTTAATTAATTTTCTAAGTTGTTCTCAGGTTGTATTAAGTTGTATTGAATGAATTGCGCTTAGCGCAATTTTGACTTATATAGTGGTCCAGTATCAATAATTTTCAAGTGTTTACAAACTTCGAGTTGTTTGTTTATGGGTTTTGTACACATGCCGAAAATAATCATTGCAATTTCGTAATAACTCTTGCCTAACTTATAATAGAACATGAATAAGCGATAAGCAATCAATTCTCAAAAATTCGATGATTATTTAAGTACATATGGGTGCCATGTGTGCATTTTTGGAAATATGTTAATATGCGATTAATGACTCAAGTAGTTTCCGCATTTTTTCACCGCGGAAAAGCAATTTCCAAGAGGAAATGTTAAGTTTACACGCTTCATTAGTCAGTCTCTTGCTTTTTTCGATGTC